TTTTTTTTTTTTTTTTAAGTCTTACTCAAAAGGAAGTGAGTATGAGGTGAATTGCATTAATCTAAAGTACTGCAGAGATGAAACTTAAAGCAGGAAGCAACATACCATGAGTGTACTGGAAGGGAACACATTTGTGTCATGTGAAGAGACATGACAAAAACAGCCCTTCTTAAATTATTTGTGGCAATAGTGATCACATTCATTTTAATTTTGCCGGAATATTTCAAGACACCGAAAGGTGAGTTTGTAATTGTAATCTAGCTTTGCCTTCTTAATTTTAAAAAATTAGTGTCAGCTAGTGGTTACAGAAAAGATCCTCTTTTTGGATACATGCTGCATAGGCTGAAATTCTAGATCTGAAAAACTAATAAAATAAAACAAGATTGCAATTGTAGTTGACTGTTATATAGTACAGTAACCTAATTCATAGTACTTAATTATCGTAGCATACCTAAAAATGAAAATATTTAAAATCTATAGTCAAGATTTCAGACATTGAGATTACAACAATCTCATCATGATTTTGCTCTTTGAAACACTTTCTTCAAAGCAGCTTTTTTGTTGTTGTTGTTGTTTTTTTTTTTTTTGTGGGATGGAGTCTCGCTCTGTCGCTCAGGCTGGAGTGCAACGGCCCAATCTTGGCTCACTGCAACCTCTGCCTTCTGGATTCAAGCAATTCTCCTGCCTCAGCCTCCCGAGTAGCTGGGATTATAGGCGCCCACCACCACATCTGGCTAATTTTTGTATTTTTAGTAGAGACGGGGTTTCACCATGTTCAGACCAGGCTGGTCTTGAACTCCTGACCTCGTAATCCACCCGCCTTGGCCTCTGAAAGTGCTGAGATTACAGGCTTGTGCCACCGAGCCTGGCCCAAAGCAGCTTTAAGTATGCGTTTACTTTCTGGAATTCTTTAATGAAGAAAGTGATATTTATTGTGTTAAAAATTCTAGAATTCCCTCTACTACAACTATTTCACACAGATAACTTACTGTCACCTTTTGACAAGAAAAAGCATTTATGTATTTTGAAAATACAATTAAAATAAGATGGGTGCAAATTTAAACAGATGTGTGTTTATGTATTTGTAACTGGAGAAAAATGGAACAAAATTAGCTTTGTGAACATTTCAGAAAATTGTAATATAATCGCTGAAACCTAGATTAGGAAAATAAATAGGTATAAATTTAAACTATTTTGATATGCTAGCAAAGGACTTGCAAATGTATTAATGTGAGTGTTCAGATGGTAATTGTGCTCCCTAGCACTTCAAAAGAAGGAAGGGTGAAAAGAAAAGGCTGTATTCTATCATTAAATAGTCTTTATATGAATTGGATTAAAATCAGAGAAAAACTCATATTTGATGATTTGCTGCAATGAATATTTATTGTTGCATATACGTAATGCTAAGTAGCCAGATAAAAATATTTTTGCTAATTATATTTGATGACATATTTCAGTGATTATTTGATGTTGCATTTACATGATGCTAAGTCGTGAGTTAAAAATATTTTTGCTAAATAAACACTATGACTACAATTTGGTTTTCTGGCATTATGTTACTTAGATGAAGCAATCATAGCACATATTTTCAATGCTTGATTCCACTGGGTTATAAAGAGAATAGTTAGAATAAAGATAATCTAATTTTAAGATATTGTGGGCTGA